GTACACATGCAAACAGACCAAAATGTCCTTGGAAACTTTTTTTGCTGGGTTTTTCTACCCAAGTTTTCTGTTGGGTAGTTGTCTCTGTGTTGTTTTTGCTTTTATCTTTTAAAACAACTTAGAACAGTCTCAACATGGAGCGTAATCCTTTTTGTTAATTGTGAAAAGAATACGTAGTTAGGAATGCTTGTATCAAAACTGTGCCAATCCAGAAAAAATTTGCCTGATCAGCATTCTCTTCTATCCTGTTTGAGCCTTTAATTAGATGTTGACCTATAATGTCTTATGTAAAAATGTTACCTTCAAAACACCAGTGAACCATTGTATAACGAATAAGCTGTAATTTGTGAACAGAAAAGGGTGAAGCTCTGTGCAACTTCATAAACAACACATTTCAGTTGATTCATCATGTGATTTACAGTATGTTCGCACAACAGCTTGACCCCCCACGTGGCTGGCCCCAAATGCAAACCGTTCCTCACTGCTCCACATATGGACTAATTGTGCATACATCGTACAGTGCTCCTTTAATCTTAGCTGTTTGTTGCTGTTTTTTCCAGCCCTGTTTTTTTTTTTCCTTTTATATCATTTCGAGTTTATTGAACACAAATCTCTCAACTTTTCTCAAATGTTGTTTCTATGAGTAATCCTGCTAGAGCTTGCATCATTCCTTTTTAAGCATCATGTCCTGTCGCTTAATCTCAAAGTCATTGAAATATTATGGATCTTAAATTACACTTATAATATGCAAATCTGAAATTTCTACGACTTTGAGAGGAAGCTAGTCGGGGTGCTTCAAAATTAATGCTAGTGGCTGGTTGACCACGTGAGGCTAGATCGACAGCCTTAAGTTGATATGCCTTTTGAAGCTTTCTACACCTTTATAATTTACCTTTTGGACGTTACGTTGTGCCTATTATTTTAAATGTTCTTTTTTTAAGATTTCATGCGTGGGCCCCAAGATTGTTTTAGAATTCTCTTTTCTCCTTTGTCAAGAGATGCAAGGCTTATCCTTCATCCCTGCCACTCCACCCTCAATCTCTTTTGTTTTTTTCCCGATCCATTCAGCTATTCTGACTCCAATATACCCATCTTTTTTAGCTTGACACACATGGCTGCCCCGTTGACTTTGATCCTCAGATTTGCGTATCAAGGGAGCGCTCACTTGTTTGCCGTGGGGAGGTGACAGAAATGTCTATGTTTTTCCTTGTGGAGAGACAGGCAGCAAAGGGCGTAAGATACAATAAGCGGCGTGAGAGATGACGGCGCTTGTGATCTGGTGCGTTCCCCCGCTGTGTTGGGACAGTTTGGGTGATGGCTGACACGCGTGACACCAATCTCTTTGCATTTTTGCCCTGACGTCTCCCTCGCCACATAACCCCCATCACCGGACCGTTAGCGGCACTGATGAAACTATTGACGCCGCCACTCATTTGTTTGCTCATCCGTCCAGGCACTCCCATGCAACACTGTAATTTGAAGAATAAATATCGAGCTGATGGAGATATGTGGTGAACTGGGTTGGTCTTGTGCAAATCAACTGACAAAAGTCAGTATTTAGCTTTTAAACATTTCAAAGCAAACTTTTTCTTGTCTGAGCAAGACACTTATAAACTTGGGTGCACAGGAGGTGTAAAAAAATAACTGGATTGAAATACGTGTTCTTTGTTTACGCTGGTAGACAACCATGTGAACCGGATCCTACTGAGTCAAGGTCTAAATATGGTTTTCAGAACACAGGGAAAAGCCACTCTTATATTAGAAACGTATGTATTTGGACGCATGTAGGCTACTGACTTCCCTCACCACACGTGTGACATTGTTTTGGTTTTGTTATGAGAGTCAAAATTTTCACATACAGTAGGTATGTTTCTTTATCAATTTTCTTTACCACAATTACTGTTTTAGAACTAAACTATAAGATTCTTTTGAAAGCTCACAAGGATCAGAAACAGAAACCCCAGTGTCAGACCTTTTTGGGACCATGGTGAATAGAGATGGATTGTTATGCTTTGTAAACATACTCAATGATTATAGTAAAGTCATTCCAGGTCTCTAAGCAGATCCATTTTTATTGGTGCTCAACTCCATTCAAAAGGAATCTGTTACTATACAAAGTCTATGAAAAAATAACAAAACAAAATTGAATAAATAACTAACTTTATTAACAGTATCCCCGACTCCATTAAAGTGCCATTTATATTTTAACATGCCATCTGCATCAGCAAATTATGCTTTTGTAATTAATCACTTTGGACGGCACATTTTGACACAAAATAATAACGTTTCCTGGGAAAAAAAAACCCGTTCGTCTAACCGCTGTTTCATTATAGTAGTCATTACCAGCCAACTATTATTTTCTTTTCAGCCCCCTGAACATGGCACCACTCTTGGACAATATTGATTTGTTTGTGTGGTGAGAAATCCTTTGGGTGCATGCTAGTCAATCAACGTGTCTTGTTCTGAAATGTTTCCCTGCTAATAATGATGTCCAATAATTTGACGTGACCAGACACCTGCAATTTGAGTTCTTAGGTTGTCTTTAGAATATATAAATAGGTCAAAACATAATAATCACACACATGCGTTATATTTTATTATCATTCTATCTTAAAGACAATAGGGTTGATCAACAATTTGAAGAAAACATTTTACGTAACATAAATGCTACTATCCAGTGATTGGCTTCCGAGTGGCTGTTAACAGAGGCTTGATGAAGTGCTGTGAGATGCGGTGATTGGGGACAAGTGTCCACAAGCACAGATGTGATACCTAATGAGAGTGAGTACCGGCCTGGGCAGAGCCGAGGCACAGCTGGTGTTTACGTTAGCCTACAGTTAGTGCTTTGACTAACTCTTTGTAACTGTTGTGTAAGGTGATAGAATCCTTTGTGACAACAGAAAAGATGCAGCAGAGAATATTTTAGATGAATGAAACATGTTAAAAAAAATAAATAAATAACCTAACCCTAACCCTGTCCTCTCTCTCTCACTCAAAAATAGCTGTTATAACCCTGCACAACAACATCCTACTGTTGTTAATTATTTTGGCAAGGGACATAACCTGAACTACTTTCTTCATTTTGGAATGCACACTGGGAATTTGACAAGTGGATTTGAAAACATGAAGCCAGTTTGTGTGTGAAATGTGTCAAGAGTTCTCTGTGAATAAAAAGAAAAAAAAAAGATTTACCATTTACCACTAGCTCTAGGTTTAGTGTGTCAGGATTTTCTTAAGGCAGCTGCATAGATTTACTTTATTGTGTTAATCAATGGCTAATCTTGCCATAAGGAGACAGTTACTATGTTAAGTCTTTGCATTAAACCTAAATACTCATTTTCAATTAACCAAAAGGATGTGCTTAGGAGAGGCTTAGAGGGCAGACGCTAGCTTTTGTTATGTTCTGACAGCACTGCTCGCTCTCATGTACATTGCCTTCTCTTTGGGGGAGTTCTGGTATACCTGTTATCTGGTTAGTCTTAGCCACCGAGTTTGGTAATAGCCTCATGCCACAGTATTTCCTGCAGATAACATTCATATTAGCATACGGATTAGTCGTCATTAGCCCTAACTCCCCTGGATATGCAATTCTTGCAGGCCACATTTGTCTCTTTAGTCTTGTGCAAAGCTTTGTTTGCGTTGGTGAACTCCCACGCTCTCTCAGCTGCACACAAGCTTTATGTCTTTATTAACATGCAAATAGTTTCATCACAAATTACAAATATAGTGTTCACAAAGGTAGCAATCTACCCCAATCCCAACCTTGATATGTCATGTGCTGCTGTTTGGATAAAACCTGCACAGGTCCTCTTTAACTGTGCAGGTGTTCATTCTTTTGCTGACAAGGATCACAAGCGGCGCCATTTTCACTGTGAGGACATAATAATGTGAGTGGAGTACCAGATTTTATGCTTGGTCAAACCTAGAGCCGTCTGGGAATTTAAACGCATGAAGCCTGAAAGTAGCTCCATTCAAAAAGTACCACAGAAGCAAAGTTACAGAAACGCCTCAGGAGAATGTTTACATACATTATGCTGTTATCTATATATTTTGTAAGATAAAATTCATAAAAAAACATCTGGATGCCATGGCATTTGAGTCTTATCATGTTTATGGTTTTGTTAAGTCTTCTGAGATAACTACTATTGTGATTTAGGGCTACACGAATAAATTGAATGGAATTTAATTTGATTTAATTCTTCCAGGTATCATATAAATTTTTTTTGCATAGCTCCCTTTTTAGTTGTTTTTTATTATTTTCTCTGGTAGGCACAGTTTTACTTCAGCTTTAGTATTTTAGCGTCTGAGTTATGTCGCTGCCTGTTAATATCAATGTGAAAATAGAAAATCATGCACAAAATGTATACTTTAGGTCCAGGAGGCTTCTCTCGAGCTACCTCCCCGCGACACATGCTGACTCCTAACCTTCTGCAGATCCTTCTTGACACAAATTCAAACCAATCTGAATTCTGTCATATTTAGGCGAACTGTACCCGTCTCTCGTAAACCAGCCCAGTAAGCAAAATGTCCTGACAGATTACAGGTACATACCACCAGGAGTCTGTGAACATTGTGACCCAGTTTACTCTCCATCCTTATCGTCAACTTTTGTTTTTGAATAACACATTTTTCTTGTTTCTTTATCGCTGAAAGCTGATTTATGTTGTCCTCAAGAAAAGCACTGGATTATGAATTGTGATTGTGAAGTACTCAGCAATGGACGTAATGCAGTGTTTTGTTGGATAAGGCAAACACAAAGCTTTTCTACTTTCTCTTTTCAAATAAACCGCATTTCAGATCGCGTTGCTCACCCAAAGATTACATGTGGTCAATGTTTATCTCTGTTCTCGGAAGTGCCAGTCAGCACCTTTTGAGATTCAGCTTAACTTATTTTTGTGTATTCATATACATTGTTCAGATTGGAACAAGACATACAATACGTTTGATTCTTCTTTTTCAGATTGTGTTTATAGCTAACAATGTTTCTTCTTTTCTTGCAGGTGGAGCGGGAAATAGCAATTCTGAAGCTCATAGAACACCCACACGTTTTAAAGCTACATGACGTCTATGAAAATAAAAAGTACTTGTGAGTATCAGCAGACCTTTGCTACACTATGGCAAAAAATGTACACTCAAAATAAAAATGTATGTAAGTAAGTAAGTAATTAAGTAGTGTTCATTTATATAGCGCATTTTACAGACCAAGGTCACCCAAAGCGCTTTACAATGTTCAGAGTTCAGATATTGTTCCAATCATTCCACACACGGTGATGACGGAAGCAAGTCGCCGAACACACTGGACCATCAGCCCCAATCAACACCATCCATTCACTCTCTCATTTATATTTATACCTATAGTGCATGTTTTTAGTGGTAGGGGAATCCGGAGCACCCGGAGGAAACCTATGCAGACACAGGGAGAACATGCAAACTCCATTCAGAAAGGCCCTGTTCCGGCCGGGATTCAAACCCAGGACCTTTTTGCTGAGAAGCGAGAGTGCTATCCTCTCCGCCACCGTGCCGCCCAAGTGTCCTTTCAAAAACGTGTTATGCTGTCAGCTTTAGTCACTACAATTTTACTATCACAATTTTACAACAAGATGGTTGCTTGTTTTCTCCAGGGTCCAGGACAAAACAAAAAGACGTATTTAACACTAGATTAGTGTCGACTTTCAGTTTTGGAAGTGTAATTACTGATGCACATTTTTGGTCTTCATAACTTTTTGACTTTTTTGTTTGACGAAATTATCTTTTATTTTTTTAACGTGAGTAGTTCTACCTTTTCCTCCCAGAGCAGCAAGTGCTACTTTCCATAGCAACACACTGTTTATTTGTTACAGTTAGCATTAAGCCTTTCAACAAACTGCTGCGTTTCATTTACATTCACCAGTTTCAGCATGTATGAGGTTAAAAGGTTGTTTGGAATCCCATGGGAGCCGTCAAAATGTTCTAGTATAGTTTCAGAATTCTGGGAGTCCTACAGTGATCGACAAATATCGTCACCATGGTTCAAGTCAGGCCATTGTAAATATGGGAGGAGTAGGGGATGGGGAGGCGAACCCATGGTGCATTGTGGATTCATGGGCTGACCCTTAAAACCCTCAGATGATCTATTACTGGGCTTCAGCAGTTCAGTGACAGCCCCATCAGTCGTTTAGCATATCCTTCTTAATTTACACACAGTTTGCCATTGAAATTACATTAGATCTTGTTATAAGCCTTCAGACCAAATGGGATTGGACATGCTGCAGTGTACATGTCATCTTTTAAGACGAGAAGAAATAGATGCGCATTCTGAATCTTGCCATAATTGGATTATTAAAATCACATTTTGAGCTTGTTGCTTCATCACTTCTGACAGTTGGTCACTAGTGGCGTCACACAAGATGGATGGCTCGATGGCGGCAATGGGCACTGAATAAAGTCACCTCCTTCTGTGGCTTCACTGTAGCATTTACTCATCATTATTGCATTCTGACGTCCAAACTGATAAAAGGAGTTATTGACAGATCATACCAATGCGCCATCTGCTATTTGTGTTCCCCACCTGCCTTTGATTTTTTTTTAGAAACTCAAAAAGATTCCTGCGTCATTGATGTTTTAAATAAAATTCCCTTAAAGGTTACATTTGTGGATGTGTTTAACGGTTCTAACCATATCATCTAAAATATATGTAACTGAACCTGTTTATAAATATAAAACCGTTGCATACTTCTACTTGTGACCCTTTGGGCTGAGAGCTGATTGGCTGAGTGAAAGTAGTCCTCGCTTTTTCATGTTTTAGTCTGATAAAGTTGATTTCAAAACAGTTTAGAGATGAGAAACATGGATTTTATTTATAGTTTGAAAGTTAGGTAGACCAGCTTTAATGACATCTTTGGTATGGTATGTACATGTTATAAATTTAAAGCCCTAAAGATAGGACCAACTTTTTATGAACGACTAAATCCTCTTTGATACATGAGTTTGTTGTTGCCCAAAAGCTGAACCTTGCACTTTTGGGACTTGATGGATCAAAGTTTCCCTCAGTTACCACATGCTCCGTTAGCCCGCAACATTATAACACTATCAATTACCCTGCACGCACACACTCCAGTATATACAGCAGGTTGAGCGAGGAGAGACTTTCAATTTGTCCGATAGTGAATACGTAGGGAGCTGGCATAGGATATATGAGCCGAGGTCCAAGGCAGGGCCACACCAGGGCTGGCACGGAGCCCGACGATGTGCCCCGCGGCCTGGGTCAGCACAGATTCATCTCCTGCCTATCCCCCTGGAGCCCTGGAGCATGGCCACGTAGCCGACATGACAGACTGAGCTCCAGCTACACAGGCCTTGTGCTGGGGGACCTGAGGGCGGGGAAAAGTTAGGATATAAAGCATTCTTATTCAAAACGGCATTGAGAAAATGTTTAATATTTGAAAGGATTAATAATGGTAATACATAGAAATTGTCTTTGCGTGAAAACACCATAAAATGAATGAACAATAATATTAAAATGTACTGTTTAGGGTGTTCCACTGGAGACTGCACCAAATATGTAAATATATTTACCTTTTTGCATTATATTTCAACAGGAAGAAAATATAACAGTATAGAGATTAATGCCAGGGTACAAAAACAATTTAGTTTTGTAAAATGTTGTGAACAAATCAGACAACATAGCATTTGTTTAAGAAATAGAAGGTGGTACGCACTTTTTCCATTTTCTATCTGAAAAAGTTGATCAAAAGACGTGACTGAGGTCCATAACACATGCACGTGAAAACTAGTGATAGAAGCAATCTCCTTTTGAGGGCGAGGAACTAAGTGGATGAATTTGATTTGTGAACGTTAGGTGGGGGTTTTCTACAAGTAACCACTCATTCATTTTGTTGATTGTTTGTATACTGTATAGGCTGCAATGCAATAGGCTGCATTTTTCATGTAATAACACTGGAAAACTTCTAACATACATATTTTCTCATGTAGGTACTTGGTGCTAGAACATGTATCAGGTGGGGAGCTTTTCGATTACTTGGTGAAGAAAGGCAGACTGACGCCCAAAGAAGCTCGGAAGTTCTTCAGACAGATCATGTCCGCTCTCGACTTCTGCCACAGTCACTCCATATGGTGAGTACTTGCACTTTGAAAACTTCCAGATAAATGTAATGTATCCTAGATGGTGCCTTTAAGTAATAGCAAATCTCATATTCTGATGGGTTTAGTTTTTTCCTTAATATTTAGTTTGAATTTTCAATATCATCTTGCCAATTTAATATAGCTGTCAGAGAATTCTAGAAAAGTTTGACCAGGGTTAGAAAATACAACTTGATTTTCCATTAGTTCATTAGATAGATAGATGGATGGAGAGATACAACCTTAGTTATTGGCAATGGCATAATAGTAGGATTGGTGATCCTGTGGTCCTTTAATTAATTGGCCATGCAATTTTCATATAACAATTTTAGCTTTGAACAAATTCTAAAAACAGATTATAATTATTGCCTGTTCATTAAAATGCATGTGGAACTCATATCAACATGTTGACGGTGTTTTGTTTTATTTGTACTGCTGGGCATTATTTTGAGTGGTGCTTCAAATGGGTCCCAGTGCTGTGACTAATTTGATGTGTAACACTGAGATATTTTGGCTTTGGGGGATAATTCCACTGTTTACCAGCTCACAGACCCGAGGCAATCATCTACTTCAGAAATCATGGCGTCTGTGGAGACTAATAAGAAAACTCACTTGTTGGGTGTGACTTATTGCAGCGTTCTGAGTCCTATGTGTCATGTATGAGCCTCGAGGGAGAGTGGGAGGCTTTAGTGAACATTTCGTCATCAGTACAGAGGTGCTATAAATTTTGAGCAAAAATGGGAAGACAAGTCTGTTGATGTTTAATCAAAATCCACTCGGGCTCGTTTGTGAAAGAATCGCCTACACAGACAAAACAAACAAGTAAACAAGCCTATTTACTTTTTCAGCCCTAATTCCAGTCCATCATCTACAATCCAAAATTAACAGAAGTTTAACAGAATGGATGTTTTCTCTTTCAGCTTTAGTCAAAACTTTGCTTTTCGGGTGAAGGAGGAGAATCATGTGTGACAAGGGAGATGAGGCAAACACTGGAAACGGCATCATAAAATCAAACTGTAGACAGAAGTTTGCCAGTGAAGCTGGAGTGAGTGAGAGCAAAGACGTCAATATTCTGGATCTTGTTCATATGGATCTTTGTCACACCAACTGTGGATTCAGTACAGAGGGTTTCGGCAGATGCATGACTCACGCACTGACTGACAGCTCATTGCAGCGCCGGGATGAATTTCAATTGGAAACATATTTTACCTCTGTATCATAAGCACGTCATATTAATATAAGTTTATTTATTACATGCAGTATTCCATTATGCAGTATCCAATATTATAACAATGTAGGGCTCTATACGTCTCACTATGAGAGGCCGTCCAACAGTTTTGAGCTTAATATATACACATCCACATACTTTATTAGAGGAAAATGTAATAATGTTTATGACTATTATGTTAAACAACACAAAAACTATACATCTTTGATTGTTGACTGTTAATTAGCTTGGATACCTGTCTCTGCTGCAAACATTATTTAAAAAAAACTGTGGAGGAAAAGTCATAAAAAGTTGGCAAAATCTTATAAACGCAGTGAGTTTGAATTTGGTATCAAATTTAGTCATTATCATCGAACTTGAGTTTGGGTTACTATTATGACACCACTACACTACACTATACTAAATGTTTATGAATCTTGCATTATCATTTTTTTTAATTCAGTCACTCACTTGATTAGTATAAAAACCCTTTATGGTCATAATAACGCGCACTCAAAGGTCTAACATGTTTATGCATCGCTGGCATCCATTTGTTTAGACCAATATCACAGAATGTATGTAATGTTTTCTTGCAAAGTTCTGTCATAAAGTAGCACTTTTCCCACTGGGTTTAGAGTTTTTCCTTGCCGATGCAGGAGGGTTTGTTAGAGTCTTGTGAGGTTTAACTAAAAGGACAGTGGTGATGATTCAGGACACTCAACATTTATCTGCCCCTTATGGACCAATAACAATGTGTTTTCTGTTTTATTTCTTGTGTTTGATTTGTCTGAGTCTGTGATCTGTGTTGGCGATTTCAACGGTTGTGTAAAGTCCGCCAAGTTGTGATTTAGGGCTATACACAAATAATTTGAATTGATTTAAATAAAATATTGATAGTATTCACTTCACCCTGCTTGCTACTACCCAAGGTTTTCGTCCAGTGAAAAGTTCTTAAAAAATGCTACCTTCTACAATTGCTCCCAAGATTGCATGAAGCTTGAATTTAACTTATTTTTTAACTAAGTTTAATACCACTGTGATATAGTTGTTTTTTCCATCCCAGCATACCCCTTTCTGGTTGGAATGTTCCCCGCTGATGATAAAAACACAAATACAAACTATGTGCATTTAGCATCCTCCACTCCCTCTGTGCTGCTGGCTCCAAACGCCGGAGAGGACATTTGCATACTGCTGTGGAGGCAATTAAAAGAAACAAATTAAACTGATTCGTCATGCAATGCTTAGGTAAGAGTCGTAATGATGTGATTTGATCCAACCACTTTGTATTCCCGCACAGTATGTAATATGGAGTAGGCAATTACATTTTGAGTTGCGTTGATTTAATAATATAGCCACTGGGGGAGCACAAAAAGAACAGCTTAGACACATCTTATTGATTATCTCTCGATGAGATTCTTGACTTAAATTAAACAGGTACTTGATGTGCTGAACTTGTAGTGCAATTGCATATAAATGAATGAAAAATGTAGAAGAATGAATCCACTCTTGGAATAAATCTGCCGATGTAAATAAACATACACACAGGCTGAAGAGTGTGAAGAGTGCGTCTGAAGCAAAACAGTGATTGACTTTCAGAGCCATGCAGGCCAAGTCCAAACATGTTATTGCTTATTTATGCTTCTCCAGAAAGCTGGCCTGAGATTGCATTTAGCAGTTGCAATTTTATGTCCGTTTGAATAGAGCTGTAGGGCCATAGTTGTTTAGATTCATCGTCTGATGGTGTTGGGTCAGCTGTCCACATTTATTTCAGCTCTAAGGATTTTGATTGGTGGTAGGAGATTTGAGAGTGAATGTTATTTCTGATGAACCACTACTGTAGCCACAGCTGCCCTGGGGCAGATAGCAAGGCAAGCTGTATATGCCATCGGCCCTATACGACCACCAACAACTATTCCCTCACACTAGACAATGTGGGTGAAGGTACTTGCCAAAGGACACAACACCAGTTTGTGACTTTACAGCCGCAGTCGCTGTGCTCCAGAGGTCTCCCTTCACTTTCGTAACCAGGCCGTGTCCTGCTTAGCTTCTAAGAGCTAACAGGCTTTCAAATGCAGGTGTTGTCACTGCCAAAGCGATTCCATTAGTCCATATATAGTTTTTCTTCAGTATTGTCATACCAGTACAATATGTTGTGGAACTATTGAACAAATAAATAGCACCAACAAACAGTATATGAGATTGATATTTTTATGCTATTTATGATATTTATGAAAAGTTAACTCCAATAATTGTTCATTTATTTATTTGAACAGGGACAACAGCAGCTAGTTTTCCAGTGTAGTCTTTGATCACAAAAAGCCATGGAGTTTGATATGCTTATTATAATCTACCAGGAAACCCACAGTTGGCAGACTACAATGGAAACTGAAAAAGTTGGTGACGTCTTTTGCAGATTCAAACCTTCTCATCGCCATCGCCTTCCCTCAAATCCTTAACCCGCAGCTGTTAGATAAAATGCGATTCCTTGTAGTTTAACCCCGGAAAGGATTATTTGGGAAACCGCTCGCCCTGCTCCCAACCTTAATGAGGTGTGCTACGGCAGACAGACGCCACGCTCCTCACCTCTGCTTTGCGCCGCACTAATGAGATCCCAGCATCCCTTCAATAAAAAGCCCCTATTGCTATAATTTCCTCCATTTTGGCTTGTCAAATACAGGGAACCTCCACCCAGCACCGATTCCTTCTCTTTATGTTGCGTTCAGAGTCAAATCCGTGAATATCCCTCCAGAAAAAGAGTGTTAGGCTTTCAACAGTGAATTCAAAATGGGACGCTGGCTGTTTATGACTGTTTTTGGTTTTACCCTGGATTCAGTAGGAAGTTTTGGAGCTTTTTGGAGCAAGAGGGAAAGGAAAGGGAACTCTCCGTGACAAGGAAGATGAGGCAAACCATGGAAAGACTGGGATGAAATCAGTTGCAAGAAAAAATAACTTGTCATTGAGGCGAATTAGACGTCTTTATGATGTTCGCTTGTCATGTATTGATCTAATTCCAAACTGCTGGGATGTGACGTTTTGTTTTGATGATGTGAGAGGCTGTGATTTGGAAGAGGCCTGAGTGACAGCTGGAAATCGTTTTGCACTTCGGGGATCGTTTTATTGTTAGCAGGTGCAATAAAGTTCCCACTGTTGAGTTGAGATTCAATCACAGTTTCAAATGGTATGCAACTTTATAGAATTTCCCCACTGTGTGAGAAATAAAGGTTCTCTTAAAAGTTAAAAAGTTTCAGTTAGGGATGCCATGATTTGATGCTGGTATTGAATATTGGTGCGAATCCAGGAAAATATTAGGTATCAATTCTATAATAAGTAATCATTTATAATAACATGATTTGGGCCTTTCAATTGATGTAATAATACAATCTATTGGCTGGTATTAACCCACAGTGTATTAGAGGTGTCTCTTGCACGCATACAATGTCGTCTTTCCGTTACATAAATACAAAATGTAGTAAAGTTTGTAAGAAAGTGGCTAAAAGAGACTGAAAATGGCACCTATCACCTATATGCCTGTGAGGTCTTAGTCGCTTCGGATAAAAGGCAAAAATATGAATACATTGAGCTATTTAACGGTTTTGAGATAAAACTTTTATTTTGATTTTATGCATGGAATAAATAATTCATAGTTTTGAGAGCTTTTGCCATGCAAAAGTCTAATCAACTGACTATAGGCAAGAGTTCAGTTTGCCAAGAATTTCTTTGGTCTAATACAGCCCTAAACAGTTCATATTGGATGTTGGCATGCATTGAGGCACTGTGCATGGAAGAT